CTTTGCCAAGCCCAGGCTTACCAGCACCAGCTCCAAGACCAGTTCAACCATCTGGACCATCATCTTTTGGAACATTGCCAGCACCAGCTCCAAGACCAATTCAACCATCTGGTCCATCATCTTTTGGAACATTACCAGCACCAGCTCAGCCATCGAGACCATCATTTGGTGCTTTGCCAAGCCCAAGCTTACCAGCACCAGCTCCTCGACCAGTTCAGCCATCCGGTCCATCATCTTTTGGAACATTACCTGCACCAGCTCCACGTCCTGCTCAACCATCTGGTCCATCATCTTTCGGAACATTACCTGCACCAGCTCAGCCATCCGGTTCATCATCTTTTGGAACATTGCCAGCACCAGCTCCAAGACCCGTTCAACCATCCGGACCATCATCTTTTGGAACATTACCGGCACCAGCTCCACGTCCTGCTCAACCATCTGGTCCATCATTTGGTGCTTTGCCAGCCCCAGCTCCAAGACCAGTTCAGCCATCCGGTCCATCATCTTTCGGAACGTTGCCAGCCCCAGCTCCAAGACCAGTTCAGCCATCTGGATCATCATTTGGATCTTTGCCAAGTCCTGGATTACCAGCACCAGCTCCACGACCAGCTCAGCCATCTGGTCCATCTTTTGGAACATTACCAGCACCAGCTCCAAGACCAATTCAACCATCTGGACCATCTTCTTTCGGAACGTTGCCAGCCCCAGCTCCAAGACCAGTTCAGCCATCCGGTCCATCATTTGGTGCTTTGCCAAGCCCAGGCTTACCAGCACCATCTCCAAGACCAGTTCAGCCATCCGGACCATCATCTTTTGGAACATTTCCAGCACCAGCTCCACGACCAGCTCAGCCATCTGGTCCATCATTTGGATCTTTGCCAAGTCCAGGGTTACCAGCACCAGCTATACGTCCTGCCCAACCATCGGGACAATCATTTGGAACTTTAACGCGCCCATCCGTATTTCCATCACAAACATTAACTCGTACACAAGCTCAATTCAATATCGAACAACAAAAAGATATTATTGATGAAGAAGAGAGTCCTATTCTTCTAATCCAGCCAGCTGGACCATCATCTTTCGGAACGCTCCCAGCACCATCTCCAAGACCAGCTCAGCCATCGAGACCATCATTTGGTGCTTTGCCAAGCCCAGGCTTACCAGCACCAGCTCCAAGACCAGTTCAACCATCTGG